CACTTGAATACATCATTTATTTGTTCAATTCACCGATTCGGCAACTATTTACTTAGCTCCTACTGCAAGCCCAGCCTGGAGCTACTCAGAACTCAACAGCAGCTCACATATCCAATACTATATCCAAAAGATAGAAAGAACTTTTACAACACAAAATGAAGGACACAACACAACTAAAAAATTACCGAAGGATTTAAACAGATGCATCACTAAAGAATATATACAAATGAAACATAAAAATGTTCAACAGCATTAGAGAAATGCAATTTGATATTATTAAAGTAGCTGTTGAATGACAAAACAAAAAATATTGAGAATACCAGATATTTGCAAGGATGCCAGCACATGGAACTCTCGTATATTGCTACTTTGAATGCAAAATGAAATAGCCATTCTGGAAAACAATTTTGACAGTTTCTTATAAAGTTAAATACACACTTACCATATGATTCAGCAATCCCACTCCTGAGTCTTTACCCTAAAGCATTGGTCGGCAAACTCAGAACCAAATATCAACAGTACAATTGAAATTTCTTTTGAGAGCCAAATTTTTTAAATTTAAACTTCTTCTAACGCCACTTCTTCAAAATAGACTCGCCCAGGCCATGGTATTTTGTGGAAGAGCCACATTCAAGGGGCCAAAGAGCCGCATGTGGCTCACAAGCTGCAGTTTGCTGACCACGGCCCTAGAGAAATGAAAGCAGGTTTCCACTTTTTTCATAATTACCAAAACCTGGAACAACCCATCTATCCTTGAACAGCTGAGTCGGTAAGATGTGGTAATTCATACAATGAAATAATATTGGGCAATAAAAACAGCTATGGATATATGCAACAACTTGTATGAATCTCACAGGTATTTGTGCTGAGTAAAATAAGCCAGTATCAAAACATTATATACTACGTGACTCTAATTTTATAACACTATATTATTATTTTATAGCATTAACAAAAAGGCAAAACCAAAGTAATGGAGAATAGAACAGTGATTTTCAGGAATTAGAGGTGGGACAAAAGTACGATTATGAAGATATAATCAAGGCACAATTGTAAAGGCACAATGGAGATGTTTGGGGTGATGGAACTGTCTGTATCCCCATCCTGGTGGTTGTTATATGAACCTATACATGTGTTTAAATCAAAGAACTGCATTCTAAGAATAAATCAATTTTATTGCATGATGTTAATTTAAAAAACACAACCAAAAAGACTATGCTGAGTTAAAAAAAAAGGCTTGTTGGCTGAATGTAGCTAAGCATTGTCTTTCCCCAAAGTAGATGCTTAATTAACATTTGCTGAACAAAACCACTGAAAACTGGTCTGCTTCAATATCAATTTCATTTATATTCCTAAGCTTCAAAAATTTAACATTTTCTATAATGGTACCTGCTACAAAAGTATATCTAGTTTGCACAAAAATAAATAATTTAAAATATCAAATGAAAGTCAGAAATCTAGATTTTCCAACCAATTATTTAAACTTTAAAATAGTTATTAATAACAAAAACTTTTAAAAAATCTTGTATGCTTATCTTCCACATTAAAAACAAGGACAGGATCTGTACTGAAATACACGAAAGCATGGTATACCAAACAGTTAATTAATGCTTACAGAATTAATGAATCTTTATTAAATATGGGATGAGCTGAATAGCTAAGCTATTAATTCATCTCAAATAATAACTTTCTAGAATGTAACGTTTTGTTTGAATTAGCAAAACTATTAGATTTTTATCTTTATTTTTTCTTTTATTTAACATTTATTTTTTATTGAATTTTTACAGAGAGGAAAGAAGAGAGATAGTTAGAAACATCAATCAGCTGCTTCCTGCACACATCAATCAGCTGCCTCCTGTACACTGGCCAGTTAGCTGTGTACAACCAAAGAAACCTATTAGGATGCCAGCATATCACTGACCTGTCACAGGTCTAAGACTCATTTATTTGCTAAGCAGAAGGGTTAAATCACATGTGTGTGAATGAATGGATGAAAGTAAACATCAGAGGAGAAAAAAACCATTAACTGTAGTCTTGCTTTGCTCTAAACTCTATATAAAGTGTTCCTAGCTGGAAAATTATTAGTAAGATAGCTGAGGTTTTCAGAAGTACCCAAACCAAGAATTACACACATTTTAAAATTTGCAAATATGTAACCTGTATATACTTACAATACAGCACAAGTATAATTTTAATATTTCTTTTAAATGTCTATTTGTTAAAGAATTATTTTAGAGCCTTCCACATTTTAAAAAATATGTGTTTGTTTTTTATTTTAGAGAGAGAGGAAGGGAGAAGGATAGAGAGATAGAAACACCAATGAGAAACATTGATTGGCTGACTCCTACACACCCACTACTGGGGATCAAGCCTGCCTGCAATCACAGGCACATACCCCGATTGGGAATGAAACCTGTGACTTCCTGGCTCATGGGTCCATGCTCAACCACTGAGCTACAACCACTGGTCTCACATTGCTTTTAAGGTGTTCTTTCTGGATATTCACTTCACATATGACTATCTCCAATGTATATAGGTTTTAGTCAAATTTTCAAAAAATTTTTTTAATTTTACAGCTTCAATAGATCAAACTATAAAGTATTTTATAATGGTGCTAAATATAGTCATTGATACATTCTACAATATATGATTTTATGTCACATTAGATCATCACTTGCAAATAAACCAAACTGGAATATTCTTGTCAGTTAACCAGTCAAAAATATAATAAACTATTGCCTATTATTGTAATTATACTATTTAATTGGAAAATGAAAAATACATAACCTAATTAAAGCACTTAAAGCAGTAACTGTATTTTGTTCAGTCTATAACTAGATCATAAGCAATAATGAGTTTGCTTAACTGTTTTTGAAAGAATGAACTATTATGTAAAGTTGCAGCTTTCTACATTTTAGCTTTGATGACATTGTTAACACAATGCAGATGGATCATAAGAATTCTTGCTTCATATTATACAAACTATTAAATTTTACAAAGTACCATACTTTAAAAAGATATTAGCTTGTAATATGTAATAAGCGACTTCAAAATGCAATGGGTATTTAATTTTAAAGCGTGCCTTTAACATTTATGTAAAACATTTTTTGTACTCGTTCAATAGAAACATATCTGTCCACTGGGTAAAGCTATCAATAAAATTACTGGTCTGTAATGTGTTAATATTCAACATACCGATGAATAAAGACTACTATCCTATATAATAAAAGCCTAATATGTAAATTGACCAAACGGCCGAACCATCGGTGGAATGACTGGTCACTATGGCATGCACTGACCACCAAGGGAAGACACTCAACACAGAAGTTTCCCCCAGCCTGCAGACCCCAGGCCAGCCAAGGCAGGTGCCAAAGGGGGTACCCCCAATCGCCCCACTGGTCGCTCCAAAGATAGGCCCTGATCACTGGCCAGGCCTAGGGACCCTACATGTGTACAAATTTTGTGTATTGGGCCCCTAGTCCTATATAATAAAGAGGTAATATGCAAACTAACCCTCACACCATAACACCATCACAAGAAAGCTGTGTGCACAGTAGGGGTGGGGCCAGTGGCCGTTTGCACAGCTTCCATCAGGGTTCCTGAGGCTCTGCAGGGGTCCCGGCAGCCATTCCACCCAGCTTCTGCTGGAGTTTCCACGGCCCAGTCCCGGCATCCACTTCACGTGCCTTCTGCCAGGGTTTTTGCGATCCCATGTGTGCATGCGGTCCAGAGGTGGGGCATTGGGGTGGCACTCCAAAACTCAGGGCCGTTCCCCGGCACTCCAGCAATGCAGGGCGGGACTCCAGGACTTGGGGTGGTCCCATGGTGTGGGGAGAGGTGGGGAAGGGTCCTGGGTCCCCTGTGATTTCACACTACAGGTCACTAGTTTATATATATAAAAGCCTAAGTGACTGTTATGACCAGACAAGCTGCCAGTAGCTGTGACACGCACTGACCACCAGGGAGCAGATATTCAATGCAGGAGCTGTCCCCTGATGGTCAGTGCGCTCCCACAGCCAACCTCCCATGGTCCCTCTTCCCTGTCCTGATCACTGGCCGGGCCAAGGGACCCCACCCATGCACAAATTCATCTATTATGAACAAGAAAATAATAAAGGCAATTTGCAAAAATAAAGTTTATGTAAAAATATACTAGTCCTCAAACATCCAAATTTTCATCCATTGACTTTGCTTTCCTGGGCACCTAACATTTATTGCTTAGTCCTTTCACACTCCCCACCCTTGAACATACCATTCTGGGTACAGAAGTTGAAACCAAAGAAAAGCATGCTCTCACACAGAACTACAGTAATGGTAACTTATCCTTTAGATCAGGGGTGGGGGGACCTTTTTTTCTGCCAAGGGCCATTTGAACATTTATAACATCTTTTACAGGCTCACAAAATTCTCAACTTAAAAATTAGCCTGCTATATTTGGTCAAACATTTAATCAACGCACCCTTCATGCCTTGACAGGGCCAGACCTAATGATTTTGCGGACCTTCCCCACTCTGTTTTAGATTATGTTCACAGCATCACAGTTAACCATACCTGGATCCATGTGGGCACTTAAATAAGGTCCTGGAAAATACCCATTAAAGCTAAATGTGATGAAAGAGAATGAATGTCACTAGATAAGGTTTTCTTAGAGCAACTATTTTGTTTCAACTTAACTCAAAATAAAATCTTAACTTGAATATAAACTTAAAATGTATTTGACAATTTAGTCTCAATATCATGAACATTACTGTTCCTCTAAAATATTAACAGTACTGGGGGAAAAATCAACGAAAGAATATTTTGTAAACATATGTGAACACAGAGATAAACATGTCAGTTATAAGACAGCTACATAATTATTAAGTTCACCCAGAAATATCATTTCAAAGATGATCAAAAACCAATTCTTTTATATAAGGTATTCAAAAAAATTAGCTTCTCCCCAAGCATCAACATTTATAATGTAGAACCTAACTTTTAGTAAACTCTTTTTAAAAAATTACCTGCTTCTGCAACCATCTTTCATGCCTTCGTTGCTTCCTCCTCAGATTCTTCAACTTGCTCCTCTCTCTCTTGCTGAGCCTCTGATGAATGGCGCCCAGGGAGAAGCTGCCGGAGCGCAGGATGTCCAGGGGCGACAGGCGCTCCTCGGGGTCCGAAGCCTCCGGCGTGCGCCTGCCGGCGGAGGGCAGGTCCATCAGGAACGCCAGGCCGCCGGGACGAGCGTGGTCAGGGTGCACGGCAGAAGCTCCCAGGCCGCTCTGGAATTCTCCTCCTCTTTGTGTCTGGGTCTCACGGGGAGCCGCCGAAAACCTCTGCAGCAGCATATTGGAATCAAAACTTGATGATAGGTGGAAGGAACAGCTATTTTTACTAGATTCTAAAGGCAGGTCCAAAAGGTCCTCAGGCTGGGCTTCATTTAGTCTGGGGCAGGCGATAGTCTTACTATGCATTTCATAGAATGTGGGTAATAAAGTCAGCTTCTCGCTGATGCTCAGATCCCAGCTCTGTGATTTTCTGTGGGAAGCTCTTCTGGTGCATCTGCCAGTCACAAGTTGCGGGACAAAAAGCTGGTATTTTGAATCGGATGCTTTGAAGAGCAGTTTCTCCTTCTTCATCTGAACACACGTCGACCGCACCTCCAGGCACAGCGCTTCTGTTAACCTCCCGGGGCCATTACTCTTTTGGGCCATGTTTGAAAGCCTGCGATTTCTGTTTTTGAAGGCGCCGCCCGTCAGCAGAGCTTCACTGTCACCACCTGACCGAGCTGTAGGATGTGACAAGTGTTTCGGTGATGGTCTCATTAGTCGGCCTGCCTGTGCTGGCTGGTAATCGGTCCGGCTCTTGGAGAGGTGCACGGCTGCGCGCTGGCCACAGGAACATTTTGGAGTGCTGACAAAATTAAAGCCCCCTAAACGGGCCCCACAAAAAGGGCAATTCAGTTTTCCCACTGTCCACTGGGCCTACAGGTAATGAAGGGAGATAAAGACAATGTGTTCATTGTAAAGTACTAAAAAAAGAGAGTGTGTGTGTGTGTGTGTATGTGTGTGTGTGTGTGTGTTTAAGCCAACCACATGAGCGTTTTCTATGCCACAGAAAAGGCTGGCTTTCTGTTTTCTGATTAGTAGACAGAACAGTCAGTGGAAACAAGCTTTCTAATAGAGATGAGCAGCTCCAAAGTTCTAGAATGATAACATACTGCACTTCATGTCCATTGAAACAATACTCCTAAGAATTTTAAATGAATCTCTTAAACAAGAGGTTGAATATGGATACAGTGTGAGCTAATGAAAAGAAAAATACTCTATGGAACCAGGAAGCACATCAGTCTACAGAGCTTAATTTGCAAGTAAAATCTCACAGAAAAGTGTCTGTTTTGATACACTTCTTGCATACCAAGAACTGTGGGAGGGAATTTCCCCCAACTGTCAGAATGAAGCTCTTCCGGCCTTTTTACATGCAACCCAAAGATATTGGCTGCACACATCAGAGGGAGCACTTTCCATACTCAGATCAAAATTAACTAAGGGCTGGCTAAAATCATCTTTTTAACAGAGGCAGTGAAACATCTGCTGTGTCCTAATACAGTTTGTGAAGTTCAGGACACGTACAAGCACCACACTGGCATTTCCCCAGGAAATCGTTACAATGTGAGAATGGATACAAGGAATAGCTAGCTATCAAATGTTACCATTAACAACAGCAACAAAAAAGTTAAAGTAGTCAGTGTTGAGAAAGACAATTGTATTCTTCTAAAACTCATATTATTTATAGTTTTCTAGGATTTGTGTCTTGAATTGTGAGAAATAATGATCCCATACTATTAACAAGGTGAGTTCTTGCTCTTATTTTGATTTTTACTGTGTTAATAAATCATTAATTATCCAGTTTATTTTATTATGCCTACATGAATACTATATACAGGATATTTCATTCACTCAATAGACACAGTTCTATGTGCTGGGGATACAGTAAAAAAATATAAAGAGCCTTGACCTCATGGAGTCTACATTCTTCATGGAGAGCTGGGCAATTGACAAGAGTGCATATGCATGCATTATATACATTAAATTTTATTTTTTTTAATTTTTAAAATTAAAAAAATATATATATTTTATTGATTTTACACAGAGAGAAATTGAGAGGGAAAGAGAGTTAGAAACATCGATGAGAGAGAAACATCGACCAGTCGCCTCTTGCACCCCCCCCCCGCCCCCACAGGGGATGTGCCCGCAACCAAGGTCCATGCCCTTGACCGGAATCGAACCTGGGACCTTTCAGTCCTCAGGCCGACACTCTATCCACTGAGCCAAACCGGTCCCGGCTACATTAAATTTTAAATGTGTATAATAATTCATGTATTTATATTTTTAAGATGTACTTATGCATATTTAAAGTAATATATATTACTTATAGTTTGTGCCTGTGTAACTTATAGATTGGTAGGTAGAGCAGAGATGGAAGAAAGGAGTGTGAATAGTAGTAACAGTGAGAATAGTTGATAGAGAGGTCAGGCGATGCCTCCTTGAGAAAGAACAGGTCTGTGGGAAGAGCTTTCAAGCCAGGGGAAGTAGCAAATGCAAAGTTTGAGAAGTCAAGTGCTGAAGCACTCCAGTGATAATGAAGAAGTCATAAATATAATCAAGAGTTACTCAGCTTCTGTATATTGTACTGTGTTCACCTCAAGTCAAGTCTCCTTTGAAAAGTAATAATAACAATAAAAAAAGAATTGCATAGCCTTCCATGTCTGTTGAAATAATGCATCTAAAAAATAGCTCTAAAATAAGGACACTGAAGGCAGTACATTCCTAATTTCACTCTGACTAGGGGAACTTACTTTTTGTAGTAGGCGGTTTATCCATTCTGGAAGGGCTTCTATATTCATGTGCCACACACGACAGGTATTTTGATTATCAGCTGAGTCATCACTATCCTATTATATCAAAATGCATGGTATTAGTTATTACCAGATCAAAATTCATTTCACAAATTTCATTTGAATAAAACACAAAAATTTTAGCTAGAAAGGAAATAAGACACTGCCCTCCCCTCTTCATTCCCATTTCCAAAAACAAACACACAAAGGAAAAAAAAAAAAAAAAAGGAAGAAAGAAAGAGAAGTATTTTCAGGGAATACTGCCTGTGAATCAAAAAAAAAGCCTTCCAGTTCACTGAGTTCATCTATTAAGGTGTTGGTCAAACCTACAAAAGTTAGTTTATCATAGATCCTCATAAGATGATAACGGGGACATTTCAGGCAGAGAGGGATTTAATTCTTGGTTTCAAACTGGCAACGTACGTTTATATTCCAGTCTATTCTCCCTGTTAAACCACAAAACCTATACAAGATATTAAAAAAAAATTTTTTTAAATTAATAGCTAAACTAGAAAATACAGATAGGGAGATTTCAATGAAGCAGAAATTGAGAGGAACCTCTGAAAGATTAATGAGGGAAATACAGTATGTAGCATACTGCATCCAAGTACATAATAGATAAGAACCACACAAAGAATGGTCCATGCCCAAGTGGTGGAAACTAGAAGCAGGAAGGCTCTGGGAAGCTATTAGAAGTGAAGATGAAGTCTGTGTGCCTCCAGCCAATAGTATTTGGGGCAGATAGAAATAGCACAACATCGTAGGGTGGCTGGAAAGGCCTAGAAAAAATGAAAAGCATCCAGAGTAAGTGCAGAAGATGAGCTAGTGAGGACCAATTTCTATTCTCACTGAAAATAGTACCGTGACTTACAAAGAGTGTGATGTAGATTTGTTTGTACCAATAACATATACCTCTAATACATATTGTTTGGTTTTCTTTGAAAAAGCAGGTGAAAGAGAAATACATATATTCTGTATTATGATATTAAAAGCATAGACAGCCTAATATATGTAAATAAAAAAGTACCTAAAAGGAAATTAATTTTTCCATGAATGTTGTAACGAGTGAATATATTATACTTTGTAAAATTTAAATTTTACTTAAAAATTGATTCAAATAAAAATAAAATATTGATTCTATAAATGCTGGAGTAAGAAGTATTATACACGACTTAACATTAAACTTGATAGAAGTAGGCAGGATGAAAAACACTGATAACATGAGACAAAGATAGAAACTTTATAGTGATAAAGGGTATAATCATTTGCCAATATAATAGTATATGCACCCAACCTAGGAGCACCAAATATATAAAGCAATTATTAACAGACATAAAGGAAAAAAACTGACAAAAAATGCAATTAAGTAGGGGGCCGGAATACCCTGTTGAGAGCAATGGATGGCTCATCCAAACATAAAGCCAATAAGGAAATATCAGCCTTAAATGATTCATCAGAAAAAATGAACTTATTATTTTTAGAATTTTCCATTCCCAGACCACAGAATATTCTTTTCAAGTACACATGGAATATTCTCAAGGATGGATCATATTTTGGGATACAGAACTAGTCTCAATGAACTTGAGAAGACTAAAATCATATCAAACATTTTTTTCCAACTATAGAGGTAAGTGGAAATAAACTACAAGAAATCTGGAAAACTATAGATATGTGGAGATTAAATAACATGCTATTAAACAACTATTGGGTCAAAGAAGAAATAAGAGATCTAAAGAATACATAGAGACAGATGAAAATACAATATAACCAAATTTGGGAGGCTGCAGTAAAAGAGGTACTGAGTGGGAGGCTAATATCAGTATAGGCCTACTTCAAAAAACCAAGAAAAATTTTAAATAATCTAACATCACACTTTCAGGAACTAGAGAAAGATGAATAAATAAAGCCCAAAGGAAGTAAAATAATAAAAAATTTGAGCAGAATAAAATATAGGAAAGACAAAAGAAAAACATAATCAAGAGTTGGTTTTTTGAAAAAATAGATAACACTGGCAAAAATAATTCAATATAATTTAAAATATTAACAAAATATGGAAAAGTGTGAAAAATATTTCAATACACATGAAAAAATCACTTGATAAAATCAATACTCGTTCATGATAAAAAAAAAAACTCTCAGAAAACTAAGATAGCAAGGGCATCTACTATTAATTTTACAAATGCTACATGAACATTCCTATGAGAATAAATGTTGGAGTTGGAGTTCTAAGTAGGCGGGAGAGATTTTACAATGTACTTACTCTTATTCTTACTAGGTTAACAAAAAGTTACTACTATGACGAGGCATTGCTTAAGGATTTTACTCCTTTACAAATAAGGAGAAACAAGAGAAATAAAGCAACTTTTATGTGACTTGTTCAAGGTCACAGATAAGCAGCAAAACGAGGATATCCATCCCGACAGTCTGGCTTCGATACTCCTGTCCTCAGTCACTAAGCTTCCTATGCCAAAGAAATCATTAAATTTATTGTTCCGAGGGCAATGATAATTATATCTTTAGTCCAAGTACCTTGTAAGGCACAATGCTACTATTCTTCCCTAAGCTTACAAAACAAAAACAAACAAAAAAAAACCCCTGGGGTATAATTTATTTTTAAATTAACCAAGAACATACACCAGCTTATACAGAAGAAAAGTAGGTTTAGAAAACATTCCACAGTTGATTGATATGTGACCCCCAACCCAATCTCCGTCATCTGAGAACTATTCATATAAAATAAGCATATATTTTTCTCTAAATAGTTAAAAGTTAAAGCATACTTTTATGGCAACAACAACAACAAAAGACTAAAACCAGTTACAGCAATTGGTATAGGTGAGGAGTATAAAAGGCTGGGTTAAGCATGGCTAGCATTTTGCTCCCTTTCCTGGAAGCCTATAGGGCAGAGACAACCAGGGTAAACACAGAAGCTTCCATTATAAATGGACTGACAACTACTTCACTCGTGTTTATAAGCACAAAGCCTTAGAGAGATAATGTAGATGACATTCATGTTATTTACTTCCAATATAATTTTACAGGTAAAATGGGACATAGCAACTATTAAGTTTGTAAATCTATAGTCACTTAATTTTTTAAAAATCACACAAATATATAATTCTAATGAGTGTATGTGAAGATGTTCTAATGAGTGTATGTGAAGATGATTTATTAAATTGGAAGCAACCTGATTTGAAGAAAGCTTTATTGTACAGGTTTAAGAGGTTATCTCCTGGGGGAAAAATTTAAGCTGAAAATTAGAAAACTGTATTAGTAGGATTTTAGAAATTCTACTAGACAAATTTTCACATCTGAAAATTATCACGGTGGGTGAAGAGAGGAAGGAAAGAAAAAGTAACTAACAATTTCGCACAATGCTGTCAGAAAAATGTTGATAAAATATTTTGAAAATGAAATTTTTTGTTCGAACAGCAGGTGGGGCTAATGCACTGTTATCTCTATTTTTGTGTTAAGGGTGGAGACCTTTTAGTTTCTGTATAGAACTTAATTTTAAAATTACAAATTTTATGCATTATCATTTAATAATATTTAAGATTTTAATTAAGCAGATGTTAAATGTAAAATACTGATACAAAGAATTTAATATAATGTTTTGAAAGATGTTTAACATGATATTTCTTATGTTAGCAATAACATTTCCTTATTAATTCATTAAAAATGAGCCAAATATATTATTTAACTACTGTAGTAATAAACACTACAGAAAAAGATCAGGTAACACAAATATCATTTAATTAACATTACTAATTAAATGTTTAAAGTAAAGTATTACAAATGTAAAGAAACCACATTCTGCTGGAGTGCCTGGCTTTTCTATTTATATTTGGAGAAGGTACTTCAAGATGAAAACTTTTTACTCAAAAGGGAATGAATGAACGAAAAATTAAAGCCTCACTTAAGGGCAGTCTCCTCACATCCATTCTTGCTACAGTACCTAATTCACTTATCACACAATAGCCAAAATTGTTTTTTAAAGTTCCAAGATTATGTCATTCCTGTTCAGTGACTTCCCAGCTCTTCAAGATCAAAGTCCTTAATTTGGTGTACAAAACCATAAATGATCTAACCAATACTCATCTTTCTAGCTTCAAATCTTGCCAAACTTCCTCTGGTTCTCTCAGCACCAATCATGAGACTCTTCTAGTTCCAAGGATACACCACATTCTCTCCAACACAGGCCTTTGAACATGCTGATCCTAAAGCCTAGAATGTTCTCTCCTGGACTGCCCTTGCTACTCATCTACCTTATCTCCACACAAGTCACTTCCTCAGAAAAGCTTCCCTAACATTAAGTAGGTCCAACCCTCTGTCTATACCCTATTCTTATGGCTCCCTACACTTTTCATTTTTGCTGCCTAAACAACTAAAATGTAATGTGTATGATGGATCCCGATCCTGAAAGCTTCACAAGGACAGAATATCTCCCTTCTGTTCTTTGACTCCTCAGTGCCTGACAAAATACCGCAGACTGGGTGGCTTAAGCAAGAGACATACATTCGTCACATTTCTAGAGGCTAGAAGTCAGACATCAAAGTGTTAGCATGTTCAGGTTCTGGTGAAAGCTTCTTCTCAGATTGCAGACTCTGTGTCCTCACCTGGGAGGAATGGAGTAAGGGAGAAGGAGAGAAAGAGGGTGAGGAGAAGGGGAGAATACAGAAAGTTCGAGAGAGAGACAGAGACACAGAGACATTTGATAAGAGGCCATAGCCTCTTTTCAAATTCGGGTCCCATTCTTATTACCTCATTAGCCTTAATCATCTCCCAAAGATATGTCTTCAGAATCAGTCATATTGGAGTTAGAACTTCCATACATGAATTTGGGGGCAGGGGAGGACACAATTTAGTTCTTAGCAAGTAATAAGACTAAGTATAGAAGAAATAAGCAATACAAATAGAACATTTTTCAGTATTATAGCCAATGAAGAAAAGATACCAGCAGAATAATAAAGCCAGAAAGAAAATGAGCAAAATATCCAGCCAAAAAGGTGAAGGAGGAACTATATAATCTATGATCAATTCAATATTCATCAATCATATTTATGGCCATCACTGTATTGGTAATATAAGAATGAAACACTTCATAGCCTGGTTATGGAAAGAGTCATAACCCAAATTATTATAGAGCTTCATAGTAAGTGTTGGACCATTCCCCAGTTTCCATTTTCCTCAACTCTCTGGAATTTGGCATCTGCCCCTACAACTCTCACACTAGAATAAACATTGATCAGTGATCTCCTCTTTGCTACAACTCTTGCACACTTTTAGTTTTCATTCAGGGTCTCCATACTCTGTACAAATCTGGGGCACCTTTTACTGACTAGCATCCTCTAGAACTGTGTAGTGCACAACATGCACACTGAAGGCACTGTCTGATCTTATACACCTTGCCACCACATTCAAATCTACTAACCAATACCTCCTTCTGGAAGACATCTGTCCCTTAATTTTCATTACACTGTATCCTACTTCCTGGTCTTATCTTTCTTGCTATTCCCACCTCCCTATTTTGTGAACTTCTTTTTTCTGTACATCCTTTAAATGTTCCTAAGAACTTTTCTTTCTCACTTCATTCACTCTGTATGATGGTCTCATCTATTCTTGAAACTTCACTCACCTCTTATACGTGGCGACTACCATATAGTTCAGATCCATTTTAAATTCCATACCCACAGAACCAACAGAAACCCCCAAACCTATATTTGAATGTTTCAGAGGTCATATAAACTTGATATGTCATAAAGTACATTGAATCTAAAATTGAGGACACCATTCTCCTCATGGCCCTAGACATCACACATAACAGACTATTTCTGTTATTTTATATTTATACTAAATGCCCGATGCACAAAATTCATGCACAGGTGGGGTCCCTAGGCCTGGCCAGAGATCAAGGCCTATTGGGGTCATCTCGCTCAGTCCCAATCGAGGCCTGCTGGCTGCTGGACAGGGCCTACCAAACAGGGCCTGCCAGACAAGGGGAGAGATGGAGGGAGGGACCACAGGAGATTTGCAGGCCAAAGGAGCACAATGACCATCAGGGGGCAGATCCTGCATGGAGGTGATCAGTGCACATCATAGTAACTGGTCGACCAGTCAGTCTGTTGCGGTCACATAAGCTTTTTTATATATATATACTGTGATATATATATCTTTTATTGTTACTTTGCTTTTGGTTTGGTTCTTGCTACATTTTATGCATCTCTGACTGGAAGGTGTGATAGGAGTCCCCTTTTCTCCTTGTAGACATAGTAGATTGTTTGAAATTCCATTCTAAATTCCCTGTCACATGTCTGACTACATGCCAGTAGCTGGAAAACTAAAGCTCAAATGTCTCAGATTTCCTTACAGCTCAAGTTCCACACATGACCTAGCTTCCACCAAGCTGATGTACCTGCTCAATACTATAGAAGCAGAAGCGATAATTATTTGTGCTGACTTCAGGCAAACTTGTTTTTTGGAAGCACTTGGTCATTCTGCAGTAAAAGTTAAAAATTCCTAGCTTTGTGGGGGCTGAGAGACAGAGTGTGAGACTCCCATTGCCTGGCATTGGGCCAGGATAAAGGACTCTGGTCCTGGGGACAAAAGCTATGCATGCTGTTTCCCAGCGTTCTAATCCTCAATACAGTTCTGAGAGCCAGGTCATATCTGACAGGATGTGGCACATATGAGGCAAAAGCCCAGTGTTTGTTCAGGGTAAAGAGACCCAAAGGGGGAATCCCTACATAAAGTTGGATTGTAATGTCAGTATCAGGTTAAATGAAACAAATCTTCTCCTCTGGGTATAGAAGGATTTCTTAACAAAAAGTAAAAAACATAAAGGACATGATTAATAAATTAATCTCTATTATGTTATGAGCTGTTCATAAAAAAAGACCATAAAGAGAGAAATATAAGTTATATAAACTGGCAAAAGCTATTTGCCAATACAATAAACAACAAGGGATTAGTATTTATCTAGAATAAAGAACTTCCAAAAATAAAAAGCAGGTGAGGAAAAAAAGGCATTTTACAGAAAACACAAATACCTCAGACAATGAGAGGGTGTTAGATGAAGAGAAAATAACCATGAACAAATGTGGCTGAGGCAAAACAAACAAAACCCGAGTGTGTCTCAAAGAAGAGAAAGAAGACAATGATAGGTGATCACAGCCACTCTCTCTGTTGAATTGAGAATTCCCTGTAAGACCCATGGATTAGTGTCTATTTTATACCTCTTAGATATTGCTTCTTTTCATATTGCTCTTAGGGAAGTTTAGAAATTTTACTTTTGTTAGTTAAAAACATTTATTTTTAACCCTGGCTAGTGTGACTGCATTGTCCTATACACCCAAAAAGTTGCAGGTCTGATTCCTGGTCAGGGCACATACCCAGGTTGCAGGTTTGATTCCTGGTCAGGGTGCACACAGGAGGCAACCAATTGACCTCCCTCCCTCCCTCCCTCCCTCCCTCCCTCCCTCCCTCCTTCCCTCCCTCCCTCCTTTTCTCTCTCTCTTCAAATCAACTAAAAAGCAAATAGAAATATTTATTTTTATCAGGGCAACCAGGAAACCGTTTTTGAACATTATTCAGGTGTTTTTATTGACTTTTTGATTCTACATGAATGTTCTCTTCTAGGCTCATAGTGAATATTTAAAGAATACAATACAATAGGTTTTCCATTTCTTAATAGGATCTTGAATTTAATTGTTTGGTGATGACTAAAGTTCACTCCTGGTAGAGATAAAAATATGGACTATTATTACCTAAACTTATGTCTATGATATTATGCTTCAAACTTTAAGGTCATGTTAATGCGAGCAGCTAGAGGTAAAATTAATTGTACCTGGGGAAGGGGAGGTGCCTGTTGAACAGCACTTTGAAATGTTTTTAGCAGGTAAAAGTTTTTAGCGGGTGTGAAGGGAAACGTGTGCCCGTGTGGGTGGCCACACAACTCCTACATTAGGAAACTAAACTAGAGTTTAGCGGTACTGACCTTAGGCCCTTGATTCTCAAGATAGTTCATGAAACAACCAGAACGTGCTATACATTTCCTACATTTCCAACACCGAAGAACATTTATTTCTTCTTGATTATGATTTTTAGTTATCACTTCTTTGCTTCTTTTCATCTGTGGGGAAATAAATTAATGTTAGAATGTTAAACTGTCACATTAAACTTGATTTTCTAAACCCTTTAAACAGCATTAGCTACATACAGAGCAGAATGATTATTTATTGAGGTACCTTCTAGTTACCCGAGTTTAGGTTTAGAAGCACTCTGTAAACAATGTCTGGGATTGGAAATTCCATTTAATTATTATGATGATGCACCATGTTAGTAACTCCCAGCTTACTTTATTTTTGCAGAACAGTTACTATTTCTTTCCATTTGTTACTAAAAGTGGTAAAAGGCAACTGTTGAAGAGTCAAATAAGTTATTGCAGTGGCTTTAAAAGAATCATAACAAAAAATATAAATATTCCTATAAATAAGACATTTAGAATAGCCTCAGCATTACATTTTAAATAGAATAAGATTTATTGAGTTGTGGTTAATTTTGTGAAAATTTAAACTTACTTACTTTAATCAAATTGATGGTAAAAATCCCTTATACTGAATGCAAGGGATTGCATATTATACTCAGTGGAACAGTTAACTACATCTTGTAGCATGTGTAGTCAAATAAACTTAGAGAACAGATCTACCAATTTTATAGTCTATTTTATACCTAATATTGATATCAATGCTGTGATTTAGACCAACTTATAAAGTTTTACACTAATAAGAATTCCAAAATAGAGTATATTCAATAACTGATCTGCTAACTGTTCATTATAAAGAAAGGAAATGTTCCATTTATTAAGATAACCACAAGAGTCTACTGCCTTGTTCCTAGACACATTTCCTTTTGTTAGCTCTTTCATTTTTCATTCATTCAACAAACATTTACAAAGAGCTAACCATATGCCACAATAAGTCCAACTCCAGGAGCACAAAGATGAATAAACCTTATTTTCTGTCACATTAGTGCTCGCTGTGCTACAGTATCAATAGTTTTCTACCCTGGCTCATTAGAATCACTTAGGAAGCTTTAAGAAATAGTGATGCCTACTCCTAGAAAGTTTCACTTATTCTTGAGATGAGGAGGAAGTTAGGAATGGGCACTTTAAAGAAGTACCCCAGGTAATCCCAGAATGTGGGCTACAGAAACAATGAACTACAATGCAACAGCTAAAAGGACTACAAGAGAAGAAACACAAATGGATCTTAACCACATTTAAAAGAAGGAGATAAGGAACTCTGCCTGAGAGAGCACAGCATGCCCTGCTGCAGTCAATCTAGCTCTGACCTTCAGGTTGCTAGGCAGCTGTTCTGTATCTGCTAACATCTTCAGAGCCCACCTTAGCTGAAATTTTTCTTTTATAGCTGCTCCCCAGGAAAATACACACACAACTACTCCCATAGTAAGTGAACACACCAGTACAGAAGCACTGGTCATGCAGTATTGCACCTATCTCTGTGTATTTGTGTCTTACTGATTTAATTGTGAGCTTCTAAAAAGCATCATATTCTATTCCAGCGGTTGCCAACCTTCCAGACCTCACAGACCCAACAGTGATCTGCAGACCACCAGTTGACAACTGATGTCTCTCTGTTCTTACAATCAGACATAGTATCTCTGCTATCAAAAAAAGACACTCAATCAATGTTTGTTATATTCAAATTAACAAGGTCTGGCAGAAAGCTCAACTTTAAAAAGTTTTATTGCCATAGCAAGTGTTAAGTATGTCTGCCAACTAACAAACAAACCAAATAGAAATCCTTTTGCAGGGACCTGAGAAGTTCAAGGGAAGAAATAAAGCTATGCTTATACATAACTAAGATTGAAAGGAGAACAATCTACACTAATAAAAGAGAAAGATGCAAATTGACCATACCTTCGCAACACCCACCAGCCAATCAGGAGTATGCAAATTAACCCAACAAAGATGGCGGGTTAATTTGCATACTCAGGTGCCAAGCACCTGGGGGCGGGATGCTTGCATCCTCACCATGGCAATGACAGAGGCATTCCACACTGCCCCATCAGCTCCAGGCCTCTGGGGAGCATGGGAAGGCAGAAAGGAAGCTCCGGGCCAGAGCGAAGGTGGTGCCAATAGCCAAGGGAAGGAAAGCCCATTCTTACACGAATCTCTGTGCATCCAGCCTCTTGTAGTGATATATTTATGGGAAATCTAAAGTGGCTTCTGTCAGAGAACTTATATTAAAATAAGAGGTTCAATCTGGTAAAGGACTTTAGAAAGAAAGGATGGGGGAGGGAGAGAGAGAAACATTTATCAGTAATCTCTACTGTGCACCCTAACCAGAAAAGGAACCCACAACCCAAGTACGTGCTCTGACTGGGAATGAAACCCACAACCTTTTGGTCTATGGGATGACACTCCAACCAACTGAACTACACTGGCCAAGGCAATAAATAGTTTTTTAATTGCATGTGAAGAATTAAATGACTACTGATACACTTTGTCACCACTGCCATGAATCTGTGAAGGGACCAGAAGTTTTATTCATTATTGCTTTTGTGTTATTAGTGAAACACAGTAAAATAAAAAGCGCAAATAACAAAATGTTATTTGTGCTTTTTATTTTACTGTGTTGACATTATTACTGTGTTGACTAATAATAACAGTCCCAGCCATTCACCACCAAAGAAATGGTTAAACGTGAATGAAGACTTTTGGAATACAAATCCTGAACAGTTGGGAATAGGACGAGACAGAAAAATTTAACATAAAGTAAACCTCTCACATCGGGACTGTAAACAAAAATCTAGAGATACCTTTTTAAAGAGTATATTTAGGTAACGATTTGCAAACCAGGAAATGAAGTCCTAATATTCTTAGTATGAACTGGGCATATGTTCCAAAATGGAAGGGATACCTCAGAGTTTATAAAGGCAAAAGTTCCTAGGAGCTGTTGATCAAAGAGATGGGTTGCTAGGGGCAACAAGACCATAAACTCCATCATTTCTGATTGGTGGGGGCATCTTTGACTCTCAGTAGTTGGCGTATCCAGTGAACAAGAAGCTTGGGTTGTGAGATGAGTACAATCGATATATATAAAAGTCTAAGCAACCATTAGGACCGAATGAGTGGCTGGTAGCAATGATATGCACTGACCACCAGGGGCAGATGCTCAACACAGGAGCTGCCCCTTAGTGGTCAGTGCGCTCCCACAGCCAACCTCCCGTGGCTGATTAACCTCCTGCATTCCCTCTACTCGACCGGCCAGCCAGCCAATGTCCTGTAGTCCCTTCCCTGGCCAGCTGCCCTGATCGCTGGCCAGGTCGAGGGACCTCACCCATGCATGAATTCGTGCACCTGGCCTCTAGAAAATATATAATGAATGAATGCAATCTCATGCTTATCTTGGCAAGACCTAGTTTCAGCTCGGGCCCAGAGAACAAAAAGGCTGTCTTTATCACACAATCATAGTACAGAGAGTATTACTTAACAATGATGTAAGGAGTATGATTTATCAAACAGTACAATCAGCCTGGAGGAGGCTGCTAGCCTTTCTGGAGCCCAAAAGGACAAAATTATGCTCTGCAAGCAGTTTCACAGCTCAAGCTGCAAAAATTCAAGTTTTGGGTCACACGTTACGACAGTAAAGTTTTTCTAAGTCATCCAGACAACAGATATGTAATTTTGTATTTCACAGAACTTTGAATGTGAATATTCCAACTTTTCTATCAGAATAATAAAAAAACAAAAACAAATTTAAATTAGTATTTTCCAGCAACTTCATCATCTTTACATATGAACATCTAATTATTTGAGTAGAGAGGGAGCGAGAATAGGTTGAATATAGAAGAATTTTAGTTTATGTTACTATAATGCTCAATTAATGACATTATACATTTGCTAAAAGTTCTAAGAACTACACAACACCAAGTCTGAGCCCTAATGTAAACTAAGAACTTTAGATTAAAATAATACATCAATAAAGGGCGGGACAAAAGTAGGTTTACAGTTGTGAGTACCTGAAACAGTTTACTTTGTATTATTTATTTATATATTCTATTATTTTCTATACGAACAGCTGTACACCTACTTTTGCCTCAGCCTGTATTAATTCATCAACTGTAAAAAGTGTATCACACTAACACAAGATGTTAATAATAGGAAAAATTGTGTAAGAGGGATTATATGGGAGATTTCTGATCAATGTTTTTCATTTGTTCATTTTTAAAGTACAATTTTATTGATTTCAGAGGAAAAGAGGAAAGGAGAGGGAGAGAGAGAAAGAAACATGAATGATGAGAGAGAGTCATTGTTTGGCTGCCTCCTGCACAATGGACTGAGCCCAAAACCCAAGCATATGCCCTTGACCAGAATCAAACCTGGGACCCTTCCATCCATAAGCCAACGCTCTATCCACTGAGCCAAATGGGCTAGGGCTCTGATCAATGTTTTAAAGGTAAAACTGCTCTGAAAATAAATTCTGTTGATTAAAAATAATTATTCTGATGTCTAATACTAACATTATATGCTCAAAGTTATTAATACTTGTTAACTGAAAAGGTAAGTTTGCAATTGTCTTGGCTCTTGAGATAATTAAAAATAGCTTTTCCTTTGAAATTTAACCTTTGCTTTTTTAAAGTAAAAAAAAAATGTCTATCTTATCAGTATGATACCTATATTAGTTTACTTGGGCTGCTGTAACAGAATACCATAGACGAGGTGGCTTAAAGAACAGAAACTTGTTTTCTCTCAGCTCTGGAAGCTGGAAATGTGAGATCAGGGGGCCAAAAGTTTGGGGTTCTAGTGAGGGCTCTCTTCCTAATTTGCAGACAGCTGGTCATCTCTGTGTCTTCATAAGGCCTTTCCTCTGTGCATGTGCACTTCTGCTCTCTTCCTCTTCTTATAATGACAATGGTCCTACTGGATTGGCACCCCACCCTTATAACTTCATTTAACTTAATTACCCTCCCACCCCACCCCACCCCCTTAGGGGCCTATCTCCAAATACTAGCATATCAGGAGATAGGGCTTCAACATATGGATTTGGGGGAGGGAGGAGGGTGCATCACAATTCACTCCATAATAGTATCTAAAGAACCTAAGCT